TGTTTGCCATGGCATTCTCCTCTCGAGATACATGGTGGATCTCAAAGTTGGCAAACTTCGTGAGGAGGGCTTGGACCACTGAGAGGTACTCCTGCATCCTTTCTTCCTTAGCTTCAAAATCTCCCCTCACTTGGTTGACTATGAGCTGAGAGTCACTATGTGCCATGAGGTTAAGTGCTTCCATCTCCAAGGCTAATCTTAGGCTTGATATAAGGGCCTCATACTCTGCTTGATTATTTGATATGGTGAAGTGTAGGGAGATTGCATACTTTAAGGGGTGCCATGAGGGCTGATCAGCACTAGTCCGGCTCCGTCGCCCTCGTTGGTAGAGGATCCATCGACATAGAGTTTCCAGCATGGCGTATCGGATGATGGAGGCGATGCCTAGAGAGAGGAAAGGTGGGGAGTGATGGAGGCTGAGAAAGTTGCACCCAAGGTGAGGTGGGCTGCGCCCCGAGCCAGGTGGGCGGCGCCCAGGTCTGTGGCTCTACCTCTTTTTCCTTCTCATGGTCATCGAGTCTTCTTTCAACTACAGGTCCTGCCTTCTGTTGGATGGAGTTAGTATGCACTGAGCAAGCGGATGCGGGGGTGCCTACTACCTCCTCCAGTATTGGTGTGGACTCTACTACAAAGTCTGCAAGTGTTTGTGCTTTGATGGCAGCCCTCGGCTGGTACTGCACATCGAATTCACTCAACTCCACAGCCCATTTAAGAAGCCTGCCTGAAACATCAGACTTTCCCAAAATTCTTTTAAGCGGTTGATCTGTGACAACCACGATGGTGTGGCTCTGAAAGTAGTCTCTCCTGGTACAGCATGGGAGAGTAGTGGTTGTGTGATGAGATAGGCCTTGAGCTTCTAGAATGCCTCATCTGCCTCTAGGGGTCCACTGGAAAGACCTGTAGAGGATCTTAAAAAATGGTAGACATTTATCTGCAAACTTAGAAACAAACCTGTTGAGGGTGGCTACTCTCCCGTTGAAGCGCTGGACCTCTTTGATTGAGGTAGGGGACTTCATCTCCAAGATAGCTATGATTTTATCCGGGTTGGCTTCAATGCCCCTTTCGTGGGCCATGAAGCCTAAGAACTTCCCTGAACTGATGCCAAAAGCGCACTTTTTAGGATTCAACTTTATCTTATAAATGACTTCTCAACACTTTGAAGGTCTTCTGGAGGTGTGTTACATGATCTGTTGCTACTACGCTTTTCACCAACATGTCGTCTACATAGACCTCCATCGTTTTTCCTATCTGGGCTTCAAACATCGTGTTGACGAGGCGCTGGTATGTGGCATCGGCGTTCTTGAGCCCGAAAGGCATCACCCTATAACAGTAAGTGCCTCTTAGGGTAATGAATGAGGTATTCTTCTGGTCTAGAGGGAACATGCTAATCTGGTTGTAACCGAAGTAGGCGTCCAGAAAGCTTAGGAGTTCATGTCCAGCAGTGGCGTCAATAAGTATGTCGATGCATGGGAGAGGATAGTTGTCCATGGGACAGGCCTTGTTAAGCTCTAGGAAGTCCACGCAAAAGCGTCACTTCCTATTGGCCTTTGTCACCATTACTACATTGGATAGCCAGTCTGGGTAGGCTACCTCCCTCACTGACCCATTCGTCAGGAGCTTGTCTACCTCCTTCTCTATGGCTTGCTCCCTCTCAGTGCTCACACTTCTCAATTTTTGGCGGACAGGTTTATATCTGGGGTCAATATTGAGTCGGTGAGAGGCCACTTTGGGGTCAATGCCTTCCAAGTCTTCATGGGACCAAGCAAAAACGTCTGCGTTTCTTCTGAGGAAATCTACTAAGGCAGATGTCTGCTCCTAGAAAAGTGAGGAGCCTAGGTATACTTTCCTCTCTGGAAGGCTGTCATCTAGTATTTCTGGGCGGAGCTCCTCTGCTGGTTCACCCCTCTCCAAGGTACCGTCGTCTCTGGGGTCAAGGACTTCAACTTGGAGAGTCTCATGTGGTCTCCTAGCCCTCATGGAGGCCACATAGCACTCTCTGGCTGAGACCTGGACTCCTCTTATTTCCCGATCCCTTTGGAGGTTGGGAAGCAGAGGAGAAGGTGGTAAGTAGAGGGTACTGGCCTTAAGGCATTGAGGGCAGGGCATCCAATGATCACATTATAAGCAGAGGGACAATCGAGTACGAGAAAATTTACCATGATAGTAAAGTTCTTTGGTGCAATTCCTACTGTGATAGGCAGGGTGATAGATCTCAAGGGCTGGACTCTTTCTCCCGAGAAACCAACCAAAGGAGTCCTGACCAGCTGTAGTCTCTCTCTGCCAAGGTGAACGTTGTCGTAGGCTGTGGCAAAAAGGATGTCGACTGAGCTACTGTTGTCGACTAGGATCCTCCTTACCTAGTAGTTGGCCACCATCAAGGTCAAAACTAAGGGGTCATCATGAGGGACCTGGACCTCTACAAGGTCTCTGTCTGAGAAAGTAATGACCTCCTCCTCCCCATGTCGTGGGGTCTTCATTGGGCGAGAGTCATGAAACTCCGCCTGTCTGGCTCTATGGGCGTGCGCCTTCTTGGCGAAGTTGGAATCATGTCCTCCTCCTAACCCTCCGGCGATGGTATGAATCTCACCAAGAGGCTGCTGGGATTCTCGTTCTTTGTGCGGTAGAGCTGGTCCTCAACCAGCCACATACTGTTTGAGGTGACCTCGCTGGATAAGTTCCTCAATCTGCTTCTTCAACTAGAAATAGTCGTTTGTGTCATGTCCATGATTGTGGTGGAAGTGACAATACTTACTGGAATTTCTGCGTTTGGGGTCAGACCTCATCTTCTCAGGCCAACGGATGGCGGGGTCATCCTGTATCTGGAGTAGAATGTGCTCCACTGAGGCATTGAGTGGAGTGAATGGCTGTTGGTCTCTGGGGGGCAGTGGTCCGAGGTGGTCTTTTATAGAGACTCTCTTGGCTTTCTTCCTCTTATTCTCGGTCTCCCTTTTGTCTTCTCAGCTGGCTTTCCTTTTCTCCCCTCCTCAAGAGGACTCATCCCGACGGGCCTTGGTGACGTCCTCGACATTCATATACTTCTGTGCCCTAGACAGCAGTTTGGACATGCTAGAGGGTGGCTTCTTGAGGACTGAGAACATGAAACTGGAGGTGCGAAGACCGGCAATAAAGGCAGCCAGAGCTACCTTATCATCTGGCTCATCAATCTGAAGCACCCCCTCATTGAAGCAGACAAGGTAGTCACGAAGGCTTTCTTCCCTCTCCTACTTGATGGTGGGCAGGTGGGTTACTGATTTCTGATGGCGACGTCCCCCAATGAAGTGGGAGATAAATGACCTACTTAGTTCTGCGAAGGAGCGGATGGAGGAGGGCCTGAGTTTGGAGAACCATTGGTGGGTAGACCCTTTTAAGGTGGTAGGGAAGGCCTTACACATGATCTCATCAGGCACATTGTGGAGTTGCATAAGGGACTTGTAGGTATCCAGATGGTCGAGGGGGTCTTTGGTGTCGTCAAAGATCTTGATGGTGGGCATCTTGAACTTCGAAGGCAACGGGTAATTAACAATTTCAGTAACAAAAGGAGTATCAGTGTGCCTTACCAGATAGTCCACGGTTTCAGGCGCCTACGCCTTGATAGCGTTGAGGGCATTACCAAGCTGGTCCTACACTTCCCTAATCTTCTCGTCCCACTGGTTGGGGACATCTTTGATCAGGTGATGGTATTGGCTCTCGTGGTCTCCGTATTGACTTTCTTATTCATCCTCCTGCGCAGGCACGTGCGAAAGGGGAACATGTGTGCTCCTTGCGCATTAAGGAGGGATCGCTTGACGAAGGGCTCCCTGGCATGGCCCTGGAACATTCTGGCGAGGGACCTAGCGCCCAGAAAGGACAGGTAGCTGCTCCTCTCCTATTGGAGGGAGTAGGACTCCTCCTGCAGGGTGATGGGTGACGCCCCCTTGGTTGAGCATTAACTGGATCATCTTATGGTTTTGTTTCACCAGCAGTTGCATAGTCTGTAAAAACTGTTGCTGTTGTCCAACGGCAGGAGTCACCATGGCAGAGGGTTTTGAAGGTGCGATGAAAGGTGGAGCCTCCTCCCGGTGCGCAGGGTTGTTGTCTCCTGGTTGATGAGACATTGATCTGATCATGATTGCCATGGATTGCAAGAAGGGTTGAGAAGTAGTTGAAATTTTGTCGTTTCCCACAGACGTCGCCAAACTAATAATGCACAAAATTGTCTTGTGCAAGATTAACAGTCAAAAATGTGACTAGGTGCAATCAATGAGCAACAAGCAATCAATGTAAAAAACAGTAAATAAGAACTCAGAGATTTACAGTGGTTCGGTCTCGAATGACCTACTCCACTTTTGGGAATGACAGCGGTGGCCGGTGTTCTTTATTAATGAGTGATGGTACTCCGAGAGTTACAGTACTTTTAAGGAGAATAAGAGAGAACAGTGTGTATAAGAATGGGTGTAGAGGTTTTGGAGGCCTTGCCCTCAATGTTGAGAGGACTTACATTATATAGCTACGGTAAGGTAGCAAAGGCGGTGACGTGAGGGAGAAGAATTCTATTGCTTTGGCAAGTATTGTTATGGTAGGAGATTTTCTATGTCTATCTCCATATTATCTTCCCTCGTGCTCCTATTCATCCGAAGGAGGGCATTAGTTGGATTGAGTTTGACCCTCGTCTTGGACTTGGACTTGTCTTGAGTAGGCTTGGCTTGGACTCGGATTGGAGTACCAAGGTGAAGAGGAACAAGAGGAGGGGTGCCCAAGGGCTCCCTCGTCCTCCTGCTGCTTTGGCCGTTGGCTTTTAGTGTTGTCCTCTTGGTGTTTTCCTCAATGGGTTGACATTGGACGCTTCTTTGGGCTTTCTCGATTTATTTAAATTGGGTTTGGTCCAGTAAAATCCGGGCTCATCACTATTATATCTGAAATTTTTTGAGGAGAAGGATGGAAAAAAAGTTTAGTCATATTAAATCATGGTCAAAAATATCTTTTTCATTCCATCATGATGTGTATATAAATTCTCAAACATACTAGCCAGGGACATGCACATTACAAGGTCGAACTCCACTACATTTGAACAAAGGCTTACCCAACAATTAAGAGTTACTTCACAATGCTATGATGGTTGTGCTCAGCTCCTCTCACTATAAGAAAATGGATACGTGACTGGTGTCTTGTAGCTGCTTGCCCATGCAACACTGACGACTAAGACATGTACATTCATGCTTCTCCAACGCTAAAGGGCACCATATCCATTTTCTCATCACCTGCCTGCTTTCATAATTAATACAACGAAGAGTAAAGTTTTTATTTCCCCAACATTGCCATGTCCCAGAGCCATAGGATCACCATTTGCAGTCTGACAACTCGATGCGAGGTGAATATAAAGCCAGCATTAAGATGGCCTTTGCATCTCCAAAATCTGCTTCTAGGTGTGTACCAATGCAACAAACAATCTTTTATACTGTGATACAAGTCAGCTGCATTTTTTTAGATCTTTTGACAGGCAACTACCACTTCCATGAGCACAAGTTCCATATCTCACCCCCATGCTGCAAGAAAGCTCCCATTTTCCTTAGTTTGTGCTTGTTTTGGGACATTGCACCTCAAGACTGAGGTAATATCTTAGTCAAATAAATATCATCCATCTATTGAATATATGATACGTCTGTGTCTTGAAACGAAGCAACATTTGGTTTCAAAACTTCAATCTCCATTTCTATGTACACTAAGTTTAATATAGAACATATGCTGGAGAACTTGGAGTGTGAAATATCTCCTGAAAGAAAGACATGCCCACTGTTGTTTACCTCAATCCAACTACAGCCAGGCTGCTTTTTGATTCCCTTCTCTTTCATCTGGACCCATATCTTCTCGGCATCTTCTTTCCTTCCACTACCCAAATACATTTCAGCCAAAATCATATACGTACCAGAGTTAGATGGCTCTAACTCCAGAATTTTCTTTGCAGCAATCTCACCCAGCTTAATATTCGTATGAATTCGACATGCCCCAAATAAGGCTCCCCAAACACTTCCAGGAATTTCAATTCCATCCTTTCTCATTTGATCCAGAATACTCATGACCTCATCAATAAGTCCAAATCTACCTAGAAGATCAACAAGGCAAGTGTAGTGCACACTTGTTGGGGGAAGAAAATATTCGTCTTTCATGGAATCAAAGTAGTATTTGCCTTGTTCCACCAAACCTGCATGGCTGCAAGCTGATAGAACACCTACAAAGGTTATATCATTGGGCTTAACATCTGTTAATCTCATTTGTTTGAACATCTCCAGGGCCTTTTCACCATGTCCATGGTGAGCGAATCCACAAATTATTGAATTCCACGAAATCACGTCCTGGTTGGACATAGAAGAGAATTTCAATAAGGCAGAATCCATGTTTCCACATCTAGCATACATAGTAACCATGGCATTACAAACCGAAGTAAAAAAATCTAGACCCACCTTAATGACTTGTGCATGAGTTTGTTTTCCTAGATTTAAGGATGGTAAGTTTGAGCATATTGTAAGAACACTAGTAAAAGTAGATTCATCTAGAAACAGACTACCTTCTTTCATTCTCATAAATAGTTTTAGACCATCCTCACTATGATCAGTTTCTCCCAGTCCAAATATCGTAGCATTCCAAGCAGTAGTATCACGAGCAGGCATCAATTCAAAAAGTTTTAGTGCACTGTTAGCCTCACCTATATTAAAATAACCAATAATCATATTTGTCCATGACACAACATCATAGAGCGAGCTTTTCTCAAGAACAGCATGAGCCTCTTTGATGAGCCCAGTCCTAATTAATCCCAACAATATTGAATTCCATGATCTTTGGCACTTTTGGGGCATTTCAATAAAAAGCCTCATAGCATCACTTATCAGTTGACTGCCCACCAACCCATTTATCATCAAATTCCAAGAATTCCAGTCCCTCTCGGGCATCTTATGAAACAGAACTTCTGCAGCATCAACACACCCATTTTCTATATAACCGGCTATCATCGTATTCCAAGCTTGCACATCCCTTACAGGTATCGCGTCAAAAATTTCCCTTGCTTCAACAATCCATCCTTCACCCAAAAACCCCTTCATCATAATAGTCCAAGACGCAACATCCCGAGTACTCATTTCTTTAAACATCTCCTCAGCCAAATCCAGCTCTTGAATATTCACCAAACCCGAGATCATCAAATTCCAAGAAACCACATTTTTCACTGGCATTCCCTCAAATATCTGAACGGCTTTCTTGATCAACCCATTACGAATATACCCTGAAATCATCGAATTCCAAGTGACAACATCCTTGTAAGGCATAAACTCAAAAACCTTTTCAGCCCCTCTAATGTCACCACATTGCATTAACCCAGCAACCATCGTGTTATACGAAAAGATATCCCGATAGGGCATCTGATTATACAAACTTTCTGCTTTTTGGAACTGCCCATTTTGGAAGTACCCACGAATCATGGCATTCCAAGTAACTGTGTTTTTTTCAGGCATTCCGTCGAATAGCTTCTGAGCTTCTTCGACTAACCCATTTCTCATGCAATTTGATATGCTTGAGTTGAAAGGTTTCAAGTTGGGTATTGTTGTTAGAGTTTGGATTATCAGGAACTGTTTTCCAAACAGAGCTTTCATGAGTCTGAGGGCCTGAATGGGACGAAAAGTAACCAATATACTCCATTACAGGTTTACAGGACCTAGTTGAAGCGAAGCGTTATAGGTAGTTGGAATGAGAAATGCTGATCAAGTGTAGTCGAGTTCATCGGAGTTTCATGTCGTGTCCGAACTTGATTGCCTGATAGTCAAAAAGTCTTTTGACCCTTTTCAAGAAGAAATAAATGCCATTTTGTTTTCCTTAAGGGTATGTTTGGTCAAGCAGAAAATAATTTATAGGTGTACAGTAATAGTTCAAACAAAAAATTTAAATCCAGGCCTAAACAAAATATTTTAACTTAAATAAATTAGGCTTATTAATTCAACCGTAAAATTAAAAGGCCCTAAAATTTTTTTTTTTTGAATAAAAAAAAAACTAAATGTAATACTAAAGTTACTAGAAAATCTAGTTTTAACCTTAAAAAAAAATTAAGTTTAAACTTACCATTTTTTCAATCATTTTTCTCTCTCTCTTACCATTAAGTTCAAATATGATAACAAAAATTTGAATATAAAAATTTGATTAATATTTTTGTATTTAAAATTTTTAAAAATTAAATTTATTATTAATATTAAAAAGAAAAAGACCTCATTTATCATTTTCTCTTTAGGCTCCAAAATGTTATAGGCCACCCCTTTGTCTAACTTGGAAGAAAATAAGGATAAAGCGGAAAATTAGATATGTCTCTTTAATTTTCACAGGAAATTTTATTTTTCCTTGCACAATTTGCAGGTAATAAGAGCCGTAGCTTATTAAAAATATTTGTGGGCCCAAGAATTTGGTTTCTAGCATTTTTTTAGTATTATCATGTTAAGAAAATACCAAAAAATAAGGATTGTTTTCTCTTTCCCACAATTTTCATCAATCTCTTGCTAACCAAACAAAGCATAAAAATGAAAAGGGAAATAATTTCGATCTAAAATAACCTATGACCATCCTTGAATGAGTGGATCCTGACAATTTTTTTTTTTTTTTGAATGGAATTCACTGATTCAATAATTCTTATTAATTTAGGATATCATTTAGAATTAGGGGTGTTAAAATATGGCATGACACGAATACGACATGAAATTAAAGTGTTTGAGTTTTCTCTTTTTTTTTTTTTATTTGAGTCTTCTCTAAACCACTCGTTTAATAAATAAGTGAATTTGACACGATATGATTAATAAACAAATCAGGTATAGGTAAATCAACTCAAAAGAAATAAACCACACACGACTTATTTATATATCGGTTATATATAAATTAAACACAATATAAATTTGATATGATACGATTTATTAGACAAAAATTAATAAATGAATTGAACCGAGTATTTCAAGTATATATGACATGTACGAATCTAACTAGTTGGACAAGTGATTGCACGGGTTTAGATAATTAGATAACTAGCACGCATTTCGTTTAATTCTGTCAATTATTCTAAGGAAAATACGCACATGTGTATGTGTAACTAGGTTAGTCAGGGCATTTTAGGCAACAAAAAAAAAAGTTAAAATCATATTGGGTCCTAAAACTCTATGCCTTAATTCATGTAAGCCCTCAAGCTTTTATTTTATGACAATTAAGCCCTTAATCTTTTATTTTGTCTCAATTAAGTCATCTTCCCATCTTGTTCTTTGTACTTGGTGTGTTTTTCAGTATACTATCTTTATAATGCGAAAAAAGAAGATTAATCACCGGTAATAGTCATAATGACAATGAGACAGTAACAATAACATATGATAGTGATATTGAGACAGTAACTAATTAGTTTTATATATTGTGTTAATGTGATATTTATTATTAACTAATTACGTTGGACAAAGTATCAATTTTATTGATTTAATTGAGTTTTAAATATGATGTTCTTTTTAGAGTATTTGTTTAGTTTTGCAGGTAAAATTGGTGAGTTGATGACCAATAGGACAACATACATGAAAAAGAAAGAGGTCCAAAATCTAAGGGTGGCAAAAAGAAGCATTTTGTTTAGTGCGTCCAGACGGTGGAAGAGACGCATGTAGACCGAACTTTCAGAGACTAACATAAAAAGGCAAAGACATGCGTCCGTACAAAAAAACTAATGCGTTTGGACGTAAAAGAGAGAGCGTCTGGACGAGAACTCCAGAAGATCATGCAGAAAAACACTATCAGTTGCGTCCGAATGGAATTGACCACGCGTCTAGCCATGTGTTTCTCATATACCAAGATAGCCGTACGTGTTCAGACGATATAGGTTGTGTGCCCGAACACATGTTCGAGATTTGCCCAGAGCTTAGAAGCCCTAATGTAACCTAGGTTTTGTTGCTCTTTTACCTATAAAAAGAGCTATAATCTTATGTTGTATTCACCTTTTGTCCTCTAATTTTTTTTTCCTAGTGTTATTATATTATTTTTATGGCCTGCCAAAAGCCAAACTAAGGTTATGAGAGATCCTTTCAATAAAATACAATATTATTTTTGATCCAATATTTTAATGCTTGATTTATTTTTTTTATTTAATTCTTGTCTTTTAGTAAAACTTTTGCTCTATATATTTTCTTGATTCGTTGTGTCACGTACATCGAACTCTTGAAATTCTTTACCAATCAAATAACTAATTATTTCATACTTGAATTATTAAATTGAAAAGAGAACTTGATTTATCGTAAACTCTTTGCATTGTAAATGCTTGTATTCTGCAAGTGAATTACTAGATTTTATTCGAGTAATTTATCGGTTATAAATTTGGATGGTTTCTCATTATCACTGCTAAAAATTCTAATTGGGATCACTCCTCAATTAATTTTTGATTGAATTCGAAAACTGTCTCATTAACACGTGTTGTGTGGAATTGAAAGGGTATTCTCAATACTTTAGTATTTCAAATTACTATTTTTTACTCCATCAATTTCTATTTTTTTTTTTTGAAACAAACAATTTTCTTTTTTCTTGCGTTACAAGTTTTCTCAATTTCCTGTGAATCATTTTCGAACTTCCATAATCTATTATTACTTCGCAAAAACCTACGCTTGGGTTCTGCATTATTTGAGTTGTATCAGTAATAGTTATAACAATAATGAATTTTTATTATCACTTTCAAAATTCTACAAAATCAGACAGTAACTTGAACTAGACAACCACACAATCATAGTAACAACTACAGTGATAGTGACAAAGATAGTAAATTTCGTTGTCATTGTCCAAATTTCAAAGTGCTAATTTGAAATATATTTTGATTAATACAAAAGAAATTTTGTCCAATTTAGTCTAGTAATAGTAACATAAGACAGTAATTTTAAGACAATAACAATTACAACGATAGTGAATTTTTATTGTCACTATTAATCTCCACTGCCCAAATTTCACAGAATTAGACAATAACGTGAATTTTAATCGTCATTATCCATTGCCACTGTAAAAAATTTACGAAACTGTATAGTAACATGAACTAGACACCCACACAATCACAGTAACAGCCATAACGAAAGTGACAAAGCTAACTAATTTCGTTGTCACTGTCCAATTTGCAATGTGCGAATTTAAAACAAAGTTTACTTAATACCAAAGAAATTTTATCCAATTTAGTCGACCATCACTATTAACAAATTTGTTGTGCTTGAATAACTTAAGTTTGAAATAGAATTTGGGTTATTTAAACATTGTATTTTATACTTTAGCTATCCACTTTTTAAAATTCACTTCAACCATGCTCTCTATTTTAGCTAAATATTTCAACTAACTTTAACTAACTTTCAATAATATAATTCAAAAATGTCACGTGGCATAACACGTAAATGTCATAATGATGACATGTCGTGCCACGCCATTAAATTTTAAATTTTATAACGGTCATATTTTCAACGACCATATTTACAAATGTCATATTTTCAACGGTCATATTTACAACGACTATATTTTCAACATATTTTTGAAAATGTATAAATAAGACCTCTCCCTTCTCATTGTTATATAGCTCAAATTTATTTTACTAGTATTGAACACATATTTCTTTGTTATAGCTTATGATGGTAAATTGAAGATGATTCTTACTGATTCTAACTCTGATGATCAGTTGGAGATGTTAGCGGTTGCTACTATGGCAATGGAGAAAGTCAATACTGAGAACAGTTTCGCAATACGTCGTGGTTCTATTCAAGGTAATTCTGTTATTTTTCGCAATCGAGTTGAAGGGCATGAGAGACATTATCGCGATTATTTTGCTGTACCTATCCTTCAAATTTATTTCGAAGGGGGTTTCGAATTAATTGATATCTTTTCGTTTGTATTCTATCCATGGTGGAAGTTTATGATTCATACTTTGTCCAAAAAAGGGATGTTGTTGGGAATATTGGTTTGTCTCCCCTTCAAAAGATGACTGCCGCTATAAGAATGTTTGTCTATGGAGTTATAGCAGATGTTGTTGATGATTATGTGATGATCGACGAAAGCACCGCAGTAGAAAGTCTACAAAGATTTGTATCGGCTATAGTAGCAATTTATTATAGTAGCAATTTATTCTAATGATTACCTCAGGTCACCAAACAATGCAGACATTGCTAGATTATTAGCAATCGGTGAAAGACATGGGTTTCCGTGGATGCTAGGTAGCATTGATTGCATGCATTGGAGATGAAAGAATTGTCCAACAGCATGGAAAGGTATGTATTCTAGTCATGTTCATGAATCAACAATTATTTTAGAGGCGGTGACTTCATATGATTTATGGATTTGACATACCTTTTTTGGGTTACCTGAATCCCGTAATGATATAAATGTGCTAGAATACTCTTCTGTTTTTACTCTTCTTTCGGAAGACAGGGCTAATTCGATCAATTATTCCATCAATGAAAATAATTATACTATGGGATATTATCTTATTGATGGTATATATCCAAAGTAGGTCACGTTTGTCAAAATAATTTCATGTCTAAGAGGCAATAAGAAAATATATTTTACACAAGCTCAAAAATCAACCATAAAGGATATTGAGAGAGATTTTGGAGTGCTCTAAGCACGATTTGCTATAGTTCGTGGACCT